CTCTGTGATTGTCTTAATATTAGGGAATCTAGCTTTATTTAAAGATCCATTTCTTGCGCGCGAATCAAAAGGGGGTGGAACGTGGTTTCTTGGTTTAGATTGTTAGACCATAGGTCGGATTTATTTATTGGTGGCTTGTTGCAGTGAATACTCTATTACAATAAGAATGTAAAAGTAGCACACATCTCTTTAGTCGCATGTCAAAAGTAGTTCGACCGAATACGTAACACCGCCAGAGCACAGTTTCTGAGAGTTCTGATCCTTATGAGGCACTATGATTCGGAGCAATGCAGAAAAGCCCAAAACGGTATTAGAGGCACGCGAGATGAGAGACGCTGTTCTGGGAAATTAGTAGCAGGTGTGCTGCTGCCTCAATGGAATAAGATGCACAAGAGCGGAGACTTTGCTTTCTTTCTATGAAATACGGCTTTGAATGGATTTTGCTCACACACAAAATTCATGATTCGCTTTCAGTCGCCAGAGGTCGGGGAAACAATCGCAAAAATGATGAGAAGCTTTATAACGGAACGGAAAGAGCCGTATAATATATAATAATAGGCACCCTTCCACTTATTGAGATCATCCCCACCACTACATTCGATGGCTAGCTAGTAAGTGCTGAGCTCTTTTGTGCTCTAGTCTAATTTATTGGTCCCCACTGCGCCGTCAGCCCATAAACTGAGGGAACATTTCGAGTTATTTTGTTAGGCTATTTTAGAGGTATTTTTGTTTTTGTTTTCTTTTTGAATTTTGACATTCCTATCAGAATAACAGACCTATTGGTGTCATACGCACCATTGAGTGAAAAGATAAATAAATAAATAAATAAATAATATAGAAAAGTCGCCATATGCGCGGGGTCCTATTGGATGTGGACTTGTACACTTCGATTCGACTCTGGTTGTGGAGCGAAAGCAAGTCATAAATCTAATTGCTCTTGAGAATATACTAAGGCGGGCCATGAAGCTGATTCACCCATCGTAAACGGTGCCTGCGTTATAATATTCCGCATTCGATTCGTATTTAAATAAGCCAATAATAAAAGAAAGTAATGGCATCTTATTTGTATTGTTTCAGGAGCTGTGTCATGAGATGAACAAACTGATCATGGACACGTGGGGTGAGAAAGTCGTTCATTATATTGTACATCCACGAGATGGCCGAGGAATGCCGCGAGAAGAGATCGAACTTTTACGTGAGGTGCGTCATAATAATTGTAACTCTCTTTCTTTACATAAAATTTTCAAAAAGAAACTTGCCAAAATGCAATGTTTTCTGAGTGATGGGAGTTTTGTAGCACTTACCTGCTTCCAAATACCTGGGTGGTTTTATAACAGCAAAGGAAAAATTATATAAAAAAAGGTGTGGGCATGCCTCCGAAGAATGGTTTTTGTGTGAATCCTTTTTGCATAGTGAGTATTTCTCCAAATGTTCAAAGTATTTTCTACATGGGATCCCCACTAGTGATCTTCCATATGCTGATAACATTAAAAAATCCCTTTTTTTATCTTTGTACATACATATAGTGCAAGAATATTTTTTTAAAATTAGAATTCCGTTTTTTTTTTTTTTCAGGGCGACTCCAACCCTTTCAGTAAGAAGGAGAAAAAAGATCGTTACGCTGAAATATACAAGAACATCTGCGAGTCTTTATATGCGTATCTCGCCTCAAATATGGAGTCGTTGATTTTCGAGCACAACAGGTCTAAATTCATCGCCGCTTGTTTGGAAACCACAAGTGAGTTTTTAACATTTATTTTCACGTGGAATTTCAATTTAACTCATGTTTTCGTGGTTATTTTGTAATCTTGGTGAATAAGGAAAGTCACTGTAGGCAGCTATGATCTGTTCGATCGCCAAGTTCCGCCTGAGATGCGTCAAAAATGTAAACGAGGCGCTCGCTCAGATAGCCAAACAGGTATACCACATTCTTCTATCCCTCCTGTTTTTTTTTGCATTTGGAGTCTCAGATTCTGTTCATTTCGAGAAGTCTGCGAATAGAGTGTAAGCATATCTTTAAGGAATTTATACCCATGGACAATGAACGCCTCCACCTGATTGAGCATCCTGCTGGGCACTTTGTCTTGATGGCTGTGTGTTGAGGTAGTCTTCGGATAAATTTTATTTAGAGAATTTATTGATGTCTACTTTGTTCAGGTGTGATAATGCCTTAGCCGAGGATCAGAGATTATCCGTTGAGATTGTCAATTCGTTATCCAAAGAGGACTTAGGTTCATGGATTTGCTGTAATAAGGTAAGAAAACATATGGAAAAACTGATTGCGCAGTGGGGGGGGGGGGGGGGGGGGTGGGGGGGGGGGGGGAAAAAAAAAAAAAATGGAAAGTGATTTCAGGGCTGCCACGTTTTGCTGAAGATGCTCCATTGTGGATCGAGTACCGTGAAGCAAAAAGTGAAGGAAGCGGTAAACATGAAGCAGCTGAAGGAATACACTTTCCGAGGAGCCACATTACTTGCTGATGACTGGCGATAGGCTACACTTCAGGATGGGTTAAATTTCCTGCTCTCATTGTTGTTCTTTGAATGTGATTCATTGTTTTTTTTTTCTTTGTTCGTTTCTAATCGCGTTAGAAAATCCCAGCTTGAATGGTGACAGGGATGACTCTCACATAGCAACTTCTGTTTGTAGTCTCATTGTTGTTGTTGTTGTTACAAAATATTGTTACGTTTTCTGAATCCTGTGAAGCAGTTGAGTGAGGATTTCAATTTTGATAAGAGAAAAGTACCAAATATACGTATTGATTTGAATTCGCCGACTAGTGTGGTGGTTTGAGACTTCGCCACTGGCCAATTACGACGTGCCATTTTGTTTCATTAAAACGACAAACCTCGCCGTAATTCTACCCGTGAGGGTCTTCTAGTCTCGTTGACATGGGGCGCTCGCAACGGTAAGATCTCTATCTTGTTAGCAACACTACAGTTTTGGGGATTTTCATTCAGTGAGTATTGGTCGTTGAGACAGAGTGATGCAAAGGTGATCGATGCAATTATTTCCAAAAGATCAGGGACGGTTAAATTGGCTCAGAATAGTATTGTAGTTATGGTGTGGCGATCAGGTCATCGTGATAACTAAATCCACGGGATTTTCGACCTTAGTGCGAGTTCAAAGTTCTTTATCCAAGTTCATCATATATAAGAAACAAACCAGAATATGGAAGCAGCAGAAAAGAGGGAAATACTTCAAACATGGAAGAGTTGGGGGTGGATCTAAGCTGTTAAACAGTCCTCCGGAGGGCTTTTGGTAGATAGCGAAGTCTAGGCTGCCACCTTAGCAGAAGTGACGGAGTACATGATACCATTGATGCTCTGTCTTGTCGGTCAGGAAGTCTATCGCTTGAGCTGAGAGATGCAACCATGCGAAAACGTTTTCTGGCAAGATCGTGTGAACAGTATCGCGTGAGCGAATCCCTTTCAACGCTAGCTCAGATGCTCACTGGTGCAGGGGTAGTGATGTTGGCTATGAGTAGCCACCTCGACGGTTCAGGCCCGTGCAGAGCGCAAATTCTCTTTGGGACGTCCGCTATTCGACTAGAGTCACATCGTAATTCCTCGTTCCCTATTCTTCGTTGACGGCCTACCTCGAATCACCACCTTGGAGTTTGGGCCTACAACACTTCGTTGTCATCTGGGGATGCGAGACAAGAGTCCCCCTGAGGTCGCCGCGCAAGCGAAAGTAGGTCACCGCACGCGGCGGCTACCGGTCCTTACAAGTTGGAACGTGGCAATTTGCTAGGACTAAGCAAAAACAAATGCAGAAATGGGGACTACACAGACGGAACAAAAAAGTGTTGTATCGATCGTCTAGAGAGGCGGGTCCTAAACTTGGCCAATTGCCATGTTTCAAACTGCAAAAACGCCGGCGACGTCGCGCGCGGTGACCTAGTTTTGGCGCGGCGGTCGAGGGGACTCTTGACCGTCTCCCCCATCTGGAATCACTATCTTCGCGCCACTGTAGTGCACCATATAGATTTGACCTGACCTAGGGGAGCAATCAATTTCTCTCCAGTCCCCCTATCCCTCCGATGAAGCTAGAACCTGACTGCTGCGCGGTAACGAGCGGAGGCAGCCATACTAACGATGCTCATTGTATTGGCAGCGGT